ATGGCAACAAATCTCTTCCCAAAAACGTTTAATATTCACCCTTTTTAGGGGTATTCCCATTATAACCCTCTTTTTATTATATCCGTCTGTAGATGTTAAATTGTAAATAAAGTACAGGTCCCATTTATGAACCGATTTAAATGAAATTTGGCACAAGTCACTTATTTGGCCCAAGGGCGAACCCTATTGAAATTGGTGAAAATCGGTTCAGATTTAGATATAGCTCCCATATATATTTTCGTCCGATATAGGCACAAAATCCCTATACATCTTTCGATTTGCACGAAATTTGGCATATGGTACTAAATTAGGTCCAGAATGATGTGTGCTAAAATCGGTTCACATTTAGATATAGCTCCCATATATAGTTTAGTCCGATTTAAAGTAAAAGTTGCACCAAAGTCCCTATATATCATTCGATTTTCACGAAATTTGGCATATCATACTGAATTAATTCTAGAATTATGTGTGTTAAGTTTCGAGAAAATCGGTTCAGATATAGATATAGCTCCCATATATATTTTCGTCCGATTTTATGTAAATGGTGAACCAAAGTCCCTATATATATTTCGACTTGCATGAAATTTGGTATAGCACACTGTCTTGAGCCTAGAATTACATATATTAAGTTTCATGAAAATCGGTTCAGATTTAGATATAGCTCCCTTATATATTTTCTTCCGAGTCCCTATATATTCTTTGGTTTTCACAGCATTGGGCCTGCCGTACTTAATTAACTCTAGAATGATGTGTGTTAAGTAGCGAGAAAATCGGCTCAGATATAGCTCCCATATATATTTTCGTCTGATTTAATGTAAATGGTGTACCAAGCCCCTATATATCTTTCGATATTCACAAAATTTGACGTGACGTTCTAAATTATGTCTAGAATGATGAATGAATTTGAACCAGAAATCGGTTCAGATTTTGATATATCTCCCATATATATTTTTGACATAGCGTACTGAATTGAGTCTAGAATGAGGTGTGTTAAGTTTCGAGAATATCGGTTCAGATTTAGATATAGGTCCCACATATATATCTCCGTCCAATTTTAGGTAAATAGTGCACAAAACTCCTAATGTTTGTCCAATTGACACGAGATTTTGCACAACGTAGAATTTATATTTCGAACGGATGTCTGATCGAAACTATATTTTTAACAGTGCGGCATACTGAGTAGCGTGTATCTAGTTTGCTATAAATCGATTTCCACAAATTTGTCCTATTGTACGCAAACGATTCTAAATCTGCCCGATTGAAATTAAATTTAGCATAGGTTGCAGATAGGGAGGGAACATTGACATTAAATTGTTACGATACATATGTACAATATACATAAAGTGGTGTAGGATATCATATAGTCGGCCCAGTCCGACTTTACCACTTTCCTTACTGGTTTTATTATAAAACCAGTAAGGAAAGTAGTAAAGTCGGACGGGGCCGACTATATGATATCCTACACCACTTTATGGTGTAGGATATCATAGAACGTAGAATTTATATTTCGAACGGATGTCTGATCGAAACTATATTTTTAACAGTGCGGCATACTGAGTAGCGTGTATCTAGTTTGCTATAAATCGATTTCCACAAATTTGTCCTATTGTACGCAAACGATTCTAAATCTGCCCGATTGAAATTAAATTTAGCATAGGTTGCAGATAGGGAGGGAACATTGACATTAAATTGTTACGATACATATGTACAATATACATAAAGTGGTGTAGGATATCATATAGTCGGCCCAGTCCGACTTTACCACTTTCCTTACTGGTTTTATTATAAAACCAGTAAGGAAAGTAGTAAAGTCGGACGGGGCCGACTATATGATACCCTTCACCACTATGGGTATATTAAACAGGACTATTAACATGTAATTGGATGAAAAAAAGTAATATTTATCTAAATGTGAATCTACCTAGATCTATCCATAAAGTATGTTAATCGACTTCAAACAAATATAAATAAGTCCGTTGGGCTATGTCTGTACTTCTAGAAAACGCAACTACGTAATTGTATGCTCAATTTTGTGCGTTGTGCACAATTTGATGTCAATCTGACTAACATGAGGAGTCTGATGCCCAATTTACTTGAAATCGGTCGAAAATATATATGGAAGCTCTATCCAAATATTAAGCGATTTCAAACAAACTTGTCACAGGTTAGGTTATACTAATTTCAGAACGTTTTGTTTCTATTGGTTCCTTAGTACGTCAATTACTTAAAATCAATCTATAATAAAAGGGAGCTATATCTAAATCTGGACCGATTTTCACGAAACTTAGCATCATTTTAGGCTCAATTCAGTACGTTATGACAAATTTCGTGCAAATCGAAAGTTATATAGGGACTTTGGGGCACCATTTACATGAAATCGTACGAAACTATATGTGGGAGCTATATCTAAATCTGGGCCGATTTTCTCGAAACTTGGTAGACATCATTCTAGGCTCAATTCAGTGCGTTATGCCAAATTTCGTGCAAATCGAAAGTTATATAGGGACTTTGAGGCACCATTTACATGAAATCGGACGAAACTATATATGGGAGCTATATCTAAATCTGGACCGATTTTCTCCAAACTTGGCAGACATCACTCTAGGCTTAATTCAGTACGTTATGCCAAATTTCGTACAAATCAAAATATATATAGGGACTTTGGGGCACCATTTACATGAAATCGTACGAAACTATATATGGGAGCTATATCTAAATCTGGACCGATTTTCTCGAAACTTGGTAGACATCATTCCAGGCTCAATTCAGTACGTTATGCCAAATTTCGTGCAAATCGAAAGTTATATAGGGACTTTGAGGCACCATTTACATGAAATCGGACGAAACTATATATGGGAGCTATATCTAAATCTGGACCGATTTTCTCCAAACTTGGCAGACATCACTCTAGGCTTGATTCAGTACGTTATGCCAAATTTCGTGCAAATCAAAACATATATACGGACTTTGGGGCACCATTTACATGAAATCGTACGAAACTATATATGGGAGCTAAATCTAAATCTGGACCGATTTTCTCCAAACTTGTTAGACATCATTCTAAGCTCAATTCAGTACGTTATGCCAAATTTCGCGCAAATCGAAAGGTATATAGGGACTTTGGGGCACCTTTTACATGAAATCGGACGAAACTATATATGGGAGCTATATCTAAATCTGGACCGATTTTCTCCAAACTTGGCAGACATCACTCTAGGCTTAATTCAGTACGTTATACCAAATTTCGTGCAAATCAAAAGATATATAGGAACTTTGGGGCACCATATACATGAAATCGGACGAAACTATATATGGGAGCTATATCTAAATCTGGACCGATTTTCACGAAACTTGGCAGACATCGTTCTAGACCTAAATGATTAAGCTGTACCAAATTTCGTGCAAATCGAAAGATATATAGGGGCCGTTTACATTAAATCGGTTAAATATATATATGGGAGCTATATCTAAATCTGAACCGATTTTTCCCAATTTCAATAGGGTTCGTCCTTGGGCCGAATAAGTGACCTATACCAAATTTCATTCAATTCGGATCATAAATGCGACCTGTACTTTGTTTACAATTTAACATGGACAGACAGACAGACAGACAGACGGACAGACGGACGGACGGACGGACATGCATAAATCGACTTAGAAAGTGATTCTATGCATATTCTCAAAAGGAACCATGTGTCTATCTCGTTTCCTTTTGCCTGTTACAAACATATGCACAAAGACATAATACCCTGTACCACAGTGTGGTGAAGGGTATAAAAAACACAAATTTTCTGAACGTTTTTCTATTTTTCTATACACTTTTATAGAACAATCTTTTTACTCCTGTTGTATGCATAATATTTATAAAAATATTATAATATGTATGCAGCCTAAAAGTATGCAAAGTTGTAAAATGTTTCAATGTCAGATTTTATTATTTTTATGATTAAGTTACACAAAAATGTTTTTCTTAAAATCCTTTACACTGCCCTCATTAATTACCCTTTCTTTTCCCTCAATTTTTCATAACGACTGTGCAGTTTCATGCATCAATTCAAATGCTCCTAAAAGTGTGCATCAGATAAAGCACTTCAATACCGTAAATGGTTTAATTCTTTAATTTCTAAAGTTCTCTTGACATTTTTCTTCTTCTTTTGTATAATTATAAGTAAATTCCTCTTAAATCACATTACAATTTCTTGCTAACCATCATTAATTACCCCATCCTCACAGCACCACTTTCAAAATTATACGGGTTGACAATTTTCGTCGGTTTTCCACTGTCAACATAGAAAATAAACAAATTATCACTCAACTGGCAAACATGACCAATGCCAAGTGAAATGTTTTTACGGTCATGAACGAAATCTTTGAGAAAAATCTTTTGTAAGCAATTATTTCCAAAATGTTGTGATTGGTTTGCGGCCAAGGGCGGGGGAAACTTTGAACAGACAAACGGACGTGGTCGGTCGGTTGGTTGTCTGGTGTGTAAGTGAACAATAGCAACAACACTAATGACGCCATATGAGTTGTACTTGACCATTAAGTATGGTAACAAATTGTTAACGCAAACAGTTTTTGTCGTCGAACAAATGTTCCTTTTAACCACATACATTCATACATGCACAACACACACAACCATTGTTGCAAATACACTTAACCATTCACACACTAATGTGTGTGTGTATAGTTGAACTTTGTGCTGTGTTTGAGTAGCAAACATTGTTAATTATTAGACGTTTAATAATACATTGGAAATTGTGGATATCAGAGCATTGTTTGTGTGACCTACTAACAATGAAATTGTTGAGGGGAAATATTTATGTTAAGTTGTCAAAAAATTTGGGCATATATTTTTTTTTATGAAAAATATTTTTGGATATTTTGTTATGCTCTGCTTAAAGTCAACGTGCAGAATAGACATATTTACAAATTATTAAAGTTTAATAAAATATTTGTTAAGATTTATTAATGAATGATTATTTTTTTATATTTTTCAGATCATGTTCGAGAATTTAATTGCGGAAAATTATATTACCGAACCTTCCATATGGACGAGGAAAGGGATTCATTATATGTGGGAGCCATGTAAGTAACTTTTCATTATACCCTCAGCCGTATGGGTAATAATAATTCCAAATTTAAATCAAATTCGAATATGTTCTTGTTATTTACATGTTGCTATGGCAAAGATGTGTCTTATCGAAATATTAGTTTAAAATGTCATGTTTCTTTGGGCCAAATCCGTTCAAGACAATTGGAAGTCGATGTACAAATATCCGTTCGCCAGTCTTCCTCGAAGGAAATAACCAATTTCAACCTAACTTTGCCATATTATACCAATTCAAAATTTCGAAGATGGGAAATATCGGTCCAGTCCTTATGTTATCTTCTCCACAAAATAGTCAAATTTTTGCTGAATGATGGTGGTCTTTGGATTTTTTCCGAAGACCACTTACCTCGCATCATTCTAGTCTTAACTCAGTACGTTATGCTAAATTTTGTTAAAATCGAAAGACATTTAAGGTCTTCGGTGTAACATTTACATAAAATCGGATGAAAATATATATGGGAACTATATCTTAATCTGAATCGATTTTCACGACTCAATTCTGTACGCTATGGCAATTTCGTGCAAATCCAAAAACATATAGGAACTTGGTGTACCATTTACATAAAAAAGGTCACTGGATTCTTTCATATATATTTTTATACCCTTCACCACACTGTGATACAGGGTATTATGTCTTTGTTCATATATTTGTAACAGGCAAAAATAATCGAGATAGACCCATGGTTCCTTTTGAGAATATGCATAGAATCACTTTCTGAGTCGATTTATGCAAGTCCGTCCGTCCGTCTGTCTGTCAATGTTAAATTGTAAACCAGTGAGCGGAGCAGTATAGTCGGACGGGGCCGACCATATGATACCCTACACAACTACCACGAAAATCACACCTTCGGTGGTTCTATATTCTGAGCCTGGGCAATATTTCGTGATATTTGCACCCTTTTTACCGATTATAGATCAACAACTCCTCTTTCTAAATTAATTTTTCTTGAAGTGAATTTTTACGCCATACAATAAAAAATTCGTCACGTAAGGTTTAGGTTGATTTGACCCTCGGAAAGTTGACCGATCTTCATCTAAACAGCCACTCTAAGTATTTGGTCAGATCCCTTCACCTTGTAAAATATGTGATGTTCTATACATAATAATTGCATTTAGAGCGACTAGAAAATCTGACAAAATTAAAGTTTTCGGTTCATTGCACCCCCTGAATGAAATCTCAACTTCACCGAAAACTATAAGCGTTGTCCTTGACCATAATCGGAAGTTCATGTACAATTTCAAAGCGATCAGCGCGACATTTCCGTCCTCTAATGGAGTAATAGTAATAATATGCACATAGTCACCTTTACTTATTTACCTATAACTCCCGCATCGGAGTTCATGCAGCCACATAATTGGTATCAATTTAAAGGTCAACAACTCATCTTGAACATACTATCAATATCTCGAATATATGTCCTTCAGGAGCAAGTATATACGCCCCAAAATAAAAATTTTGTAAAAAAGTCAGGGTTCATTTAACCTGTTAAATATTGACCGATCTTTATCAAAACAGGCATGCTTATTCTTAGGTCCGATCCCCTTCTCCATGTAAATCTTTATCAAAAAGAATAGGGGTCTTCATTGGCCAGAACCCATCCTACATGCAAAATTTCGTGAAGATTGGTCCATAATTGTGGCCTGTATCGTGTTTACAAATTATAATGGGAGGGACGGACACACATGTCTGGATCGACTCAGCTCAGCTCAGATCGGTATACTTAAATGTGAGTCTAGGACCAATATTTCGCGGCGTTACAAACTTTTGGGGCTGCACAAAGCTATAATACCCTGACAACATAGTTGTGTAGTGTATAACAAAGTACAGGTCGCATTTATGATCCGAATTGAATGAAATTTTGCACAGCTCATTTGTTTGGCCCAAGGACGAACCCTATTGAAATTGGGAAAAATCGGTTCAGATTTAGATATAGCTCCCATATATATTTTTGTCTGATTTACGGACTTTAGTCCCTGCAAATCATTCGATGAGAACGAATTTTTGCATAGCGTACTGAATTAAGTCTGGAATGATATGTGCTAAGTTTCGTGAAAATCGGTTCAGATTTAGATATAGCTCCCATATATAACTTTGCCCGATTTTAGGTAAATGGTGCACCAAAGTCCCTGAAAATCATTTGATTTTAACGAATTTTGGCATAGCGTATTGAATTAAGTCTAGAATGACGTGAGCTAAGTTTCGTGAAAATCGGTTCAGATTTAGATATAGCTCCCATATATAGTTTAGCCCGATTTAAGGTAAATGGTGTACCAAAGTCCCTATATATCTTTCGATTTGCACGAAATTTTGTACAGCCTACTGAATTAGGTCTAGAATAATGTGTGCTAAGTTTCGTGAAAATCGGTTCAGATTTAGATATAGCACCCATATATAGTTTAGCCTGATTTAAGGTAAATGGTGTACCAAAGTCCATATATATCATTCGATTTGCACGAAATTTTGTATAGACTACTGAATTAGGTCTATAATGATGTGTGCTAAGTTTCGTGAAAATCGGTACAGATTTAGATATTGCTCCCATATATAGTTTCGCCTGATCATTTGATTTGCACGAATTTTGACATAGTGTATTGAATTAAGTCAAGAATAACCTGTGCTAAGTTTCATGAAAATCGGTCCAGATTTGGATATAGCTTCCATATATAGTTTCGCCCGATTTTAGGTAAGGCAAAGGCCCTGCTAATCTGTTTATTGGCATGCATTTTGGTATGAGGTCCAAAATAAGTCTAGAATGATGTGTGCCACTTTTTATGAAAATCGGTTCAGATTTAGATATAGCTTTCATACATAGTTTCGTCCGATTTTAGGTAAATGGTGCCCTAATTCCCTGAAAATCATTCGATTAAGTCTACAATGATGTGTACAACTCCTATATATATTTTCATCCGATTTTAAGTAAAATTTGCACTAAAGATCCAAAGCTAGGCCGATTGACAATAGGTACTGAAATTAATATAAATTAATCTCTGGCAAGTTTGCTTCAAGTCGTTTCAGATATAGATATATCGTAGCTTCCATTTATATTTTCGACTTATTTATGTTTATTGTACATCAAATAACCAATAGGAGTCTGATTGAGATTAAATTTTAAACAGTGCAGCATAACGAATAGAGTGTGTCAAGTTTGCTTTAAATCGATTAACACAAATCTGCAAACGACTCTAAACTTGCCCAAATGAAATGAAATTTAGCATAGGTTCCAGAAAGACATAAAAATCTAATATTTAAGTTCGTTCAATTTCATTTCAAAATTCCTTCAAAAAGGCGACGTCTTTTCGGATACATATGTAGAATATACCCAAATGGTGAAGCGTATCATATAGTCGGCCCAGTCCGACTTTACTACTTTCCTTACTGGTTTGCATATATCTATAATCTAAAAAGATTTGAAATATATCCGATCTCTCTACTATTAAGAGGACTTCGAGACGTTTGTTATTGTGCCCCTCTTGTAGACTCACAGGTAAACCATTTATGAGTAGTGATTTGTTAAAAAAGGCCACACAGACGAGTATCTGAAAAGATTTGGGCTATATCCGATCGCTCTTCTGAAAAGAGGATTTCATGACTTTTCCAATTATGCTCTGTTGATAGGCGTACAGACGAACCATTTGTGAGTGGTGGTTTGTTAAACCCATTCGGGTGTATTGGTTAATTGATAAGGGCCGTTCGTAGGAAGGTTTTTGATGTATATTGTTTATGATCTGGATGCCCTTATAGGATTCCTTTTTGGCATATGTTTTGAATCTGAAAAAAATTTAAATATATCCGATCTCTCTACTGGTAAGAGGACTTCAAGACCTTTGCAATTATGCCCCTTCTGGTAGACGTACAGATGAACCGTTGTTAAACCACACAGACGAGAACTATTTGGGAGTACTCAAAAAAGGCCTTTCATAGGAAGGTCCTTATATTTTTCCTCGGAAAATAGGGGGGGAAATCAGCAAAGATTTTGGATATATCTGACCACTCTATTGGAAAGTGAGCTTCAATATCAACATCAACAGGCCACCAGACGTGCTTTAAAAAGGACAGTCCCTGTATTTTCCCAGAAACTGGCGTATATCTCGAATCTGAAAAGATTTTGGATGTATCAGATATCATTAATGGAAAGGAAGGACATCACATTGTTTCCAAAGGACGTCGAACAGAAAATAAATGGGATATATGTAATTACTTTATTAGATGGATAGATGTACATGGAACCGTTTTAAGTTAAAAAAGGTTGTGTATAAGAAAGTCCCTTTTTTTCTGAAAATTGTGTTTCTTTCGTTTATTTGGACTATAAAAGTACTTATTGATTCGGAAAAAATCTATTTTCCGCTAACGAAGATGGTAGTATAAATATAATTTAATATTGCATTGGTTATATTAAATCTCTATTATTTTTCCCATTTCAATTTAATTTAAAATAAAATTCCATTTTTCTGTTGCTCTGACAATTCTGACATTTGTTATCATTCATATGAGATGATATATTACCACAAAACCAAATTGGCTTAAATTTGATATATATTTTTTAAACAATTTCTGTATTATTTTTATAATAAAATAAATAACATTTACATTTATGTTTTATCGTTTCTTTTTCAGGGATCGTATATTCCGTTTAAGCCTTAAAAATATATCCTCATCAACATGTGATGTAAGTAAATAAAAAATAATAAAAATCGAATATCCTTTTTATTTATATGTATTTGTATGTAGGTGTGTGTTTGTGTGTTATGTCAAAATGAAATGGAAAACTATGTAAATACACACAACCATCTCTGGTTTCAATTTTAAGATTTTCCACATACATATATTTATTTCATATTTTTTATTTTTCCCAGTATTTTGTTTAATTTATCGAATTTTTTTTAAATAAAATTGTTAACGAACAATCCGATTTATGGTACAAACATCATCAAAATATGATTTATTTTATTATGCAAAAAAAAAAAAAAAGAGAAAAATAAAACAAAACACAGCTCGAAATGAAATCTTCTGTTCCATATTTGTCATTTATTGTTGCAAATAAATGGACAACTGGATTTGGTCACACTCAACATGTCTGCAGTTGGCCAGCCTTTCCGAACACCCATTCGCCACACACATACAATAATGCACATGAGTGAGAACTTGTCAGCTGCATACACATACATACACACTCCCATATGAAAACTATTAAAATTAAAAATCCAATAAATTTCTGGAAAATAATAACCAACATTCATATCCACACAATATCTCTGCTTTCGTTTATAACCTAAAGCTTCGTCTCCTAATGAATAGAAAACATGGTTGTCAGAAATTTTTATGAAAACAAATACGGAAATATGTATGTGTGAACATACATATTTCCATGTATTCATTAATTCGGTGGAAAATTGCATTTGATTTGTCAAATGAATTTATCATCAAAATTGCTCAAAATGGTTTCATGGTCGTTGTTTTTGTCCATAGAAATCGAAATTTGTTTTCAAAGATTGACATTGATATAATTGTAGCGGAAAATGAGATTGAAATATGTTACTGTTATAATATGATATATGTATTTCGTTTTTTTTTTCAAACCATGGTGAATATTATAGAAATATATGTCAGCATTGTCGATGATTTATTAAAATTGGATGAATTCATCAAAGACAAATTTTTAAAGTATATTTAATCTCTTAATTGGACACAAGGTGTGAATTATTTAAATAATTCTTCAAAATACCATTTTGATTTTTTAAATAATTTTTCCAAGGACCAATACGAGGCGTAGATTTTTTCAAATAATTTTTCCAAGCACCAATACAAGGCGTAGATTTTTAAAATAATTTTTCCAAGGACCAATACAAGGCGTAGATTTTTTAAATAATTTTTCCAACGACCAATACAAGGCGTAGATTTTTTAAATAATTTTTCCAACGACCAATACAAGGCGTAGATTTTTTAAATAATTTTTCTAAGGACCAATACAAGGCGTAGATTTTTTAAACAATTTTTCCAAGCACCAATACAAGGCGTAGATTTTTTTTAAATAATATTTCCATGGACCAATACAAGGCGTAGATTTTTTAAACAATTTTTCCAAGCACCAATACAAGGCGTAGATTTTTTTAATAATTTTTCCAAAAATTTTCCAAGGACCAATACAAGGCGTAGCTTTTTCAAATAATTTTTTCAAGGACCAATACAAGGCGTAGATTTTTTAAATAATTTTTCCAAGGACCAATACAAGGCGTAGATTTTTTAAATAATTTTTCCAAGGACCAATACAAGGCGTAGATTTTTTAAATAATTTTTCCAAGGACCAATACAAGGCGTAGATTTTTTAAATAATTTTTCCAAGGACCAATACAAGGCGTAGATTTTTTAAATAATTTTTCCAAGGACCAATACAAGGCGTAGATTTTTTAAATAATTTTTCCAAGGACCAATACAAGGCGTAGATTTTTTAAATAATTTTTCCAAGGACCAATACAAGGCGTAGATTTTTTAAATAATTTTTCCAAGGACCAATACAAGGCGTAGATTTTTTAAATAATTTTTCCAAGGACCAATACGAGGCGTAGATTTTTTTAAATAATTTTTCCTAGCACCAATACAAGGCGTAGATTTTTTTATATAATTTTTCCAAGGACCAATACAAGGCGTAGATTTTTTTATATAATTTTTCCAAGGACCAATACAAGGCGTAGATTTTTTAAATAATTTTTCCAAGGACCAATACAAGGCGTAGATTTTTTTATATAATTTTTCCAAGGACCAATACAAGGCGTAGATTTTTTAAATAATTATACCCTTCACCACACTGTGGTACAGGGCATTATGCCTTTGTGCATGTGTTTGTAACAGCCAAACGGAAACGATATAGACACATGGTTCCTTTTGGGAATATGCATAGAATATTTTCTGAGTCGATTCATTGAAAATACAGGTCGCATTTATGATCCGATTTGAATAAAATTTGGCACAAGTCACTTATTTCCCCCAAGGACGAACCCTATTGAAATTGGTGAAAATCGGTTCAGATTTAGATATGTCTCCCATATATATATTTTCGTCCGATATAGGCACCAAAGTCCCTATATATCTTTTGATTTGCACGAAACTTGGCACAGCGTAATGAATTAGGTCTAGAATGACGTGTGCCAAGTTTCGAGAAAATCGGGTCAGATTTATACATATAGCTCCCATATATATTTTCGTCCGATTTAAGGTAAATGGGGCACCAAAGTCCCTATATATCTTTCGATTTACACGAAAGCTTGTATAGAGTACTGAATTAGGTCTAGAATGACGTGTGCCAACATTCGAGAAAATCGGTTCAGATTTGGATATAGCTCCCATATATAGTTTCGTCCGATTTAATGTAAATGGTGCACCATAGTCCCTATATATCTTTTGATTTGCACGTAATTTGGTATAGTGCATTGAACTAAGTATAGAATTACATATGCTAAGTTTCGTGAAAATCGGTTCAGATTAAGATATATCTCCCATTTTTGTCCGATTTTATATAAATAGTGCTCGTAGTCCCTATATATTCTGCGATTTTCACGAAATTTGGCATGGCGTACTATATTAAGTCTAGAATGATGTATGTTAAGTTCCGAGAAAATAGGTTCAGAATCGATGACGTACTAAATTAAGTCTGCAATGATATATATATATATATATTGACAGATTTAATGTAAATGTTGCACCAAAATTCGTATGTGTCTTTCGATTTCTACGAATCTAAACAAACCTAGAATGAGGTTTGTTTAGATATAGTTCCCACATATATGTTTTCGTCCGATTTTCGGTAAATAAGTATCATATATATTTCGAACGGCTGTCTGATTGAGGCTATATTTTTAACAGTACGATATACTGCGTAGCGTGTATCAAGTTTGCTATAAATCGATTTCCATAATTGTGTCCCATTGCACGCAAACGAATCTAAATCTGCCCGATTGAAACTAAATTTAGGATAGGTTGCAGAAAAGTTTATGTCCCTTCGAGGGAACATTGGCATGTAATTGTTAGGATACATATGTTCAACATACATAAAGTGGTGAAGGGTATCATATAGTCGGCCCAGTCCGACTTTACTACTTTCCTTACTGGGTTTTTCAGTGATTTTTTGTTTCATTTAAAACCATAAATAAATTATTTTTCGAATTTTCATTACACCATACACACCTTCAAGCTCGAATCACCAAATGAATGTCCTCACCGCAGGTGCATTTACCGATATTTTTTTCCAAACAAAACAAGGACAAAACCTTTGTTTTTAAATTGAATTGTTTCACATAACCCCCGTTTGTCTTTGTGTTTTGTGTAACTAAATCAATTTTCAATAAATTGAAATTATGACAGAAAAATCTAATTTTGGGAATTCCGATTTTTTATGACCACAGCACCGCTGCTATTGTTGTCGCAATCACAAAAATGACCTCAAGCATTTGTGAAGTGAATTCCATTAGAGCCCTGGCGAAATGGAACATTTTCAATACTAACGACCATTTTCCATAGCTGAGCTGATATGTTTTTTTTTCTCCTGTTTCCAAGCTGCCAAGAGATCTGACAACTGTACTCTAAACAGAGTTCCCAATGGTATGACAATAGATTTATGTGTGTTTTATGTATAAAATGTGGGTAACACGAAAAAATGAGAAACAAAACTACATAACGTGTATGCTTCCCAAAAATTGCATACATTTTTAATGAAATTACATCCCAAATGACTAGGTAGTATGACTTTACGTGAGTGCGTCAGTGTGTGTATGAGTTAGTATGGCAAACGGGAAGTTAAAAAAAAAAAAAAAACGAAACGAACCTAGGAATAAAAAAAGTGGCACACAACTACCACAAATCTAAATGAAATCTACAAAACATTGAAACACGCTGTTCCAACACCACATCACATTTGAACACAACAAATGATTTACCAAAGTTTTGGTTTTGTTGTTGCTGTTGCTGCTTTTGCTATATTTTTGGTAAAAAGCAAATGTGAAAACAAAACAAGAAATCCACTAAACTGGTTAACATGAAATGGTTTTCTACTCTTATCCATGCATATTTCAAATAATATAGTTTTCATTTTTTCTTCTTGTTTTTGGTTTTGTAAATTCGAACACTTCTGACAGTGGATTAGGCTCGAGGAAATATGTTGGTGAATATACTTCCAGTTTCCCGAGAAATAAAATAATATTTATAAAAGGTGTGATGCATACTTTTAGGTGTTGGTGGTGAAAAACAGTTCTTTTAACAAAATCAACGCCCTTTACATTCAGAATCAGTGGCTACATACACAAATATTTATTAATTCGAAAAACAGCCAAGCCTCAAGAGCTTATCAGATAAATGTTTAAAGGTCATCTAAAACCCGTTAAACTTTTTATTACGTGGAAAGTGATTAAAAATTATTAAAACGACCTTGAAAAAAATATTTAAAAAGTCTTCTACGCAAAATTTGCTTCAAAAAGCCATGAAAAGTAATTTTAAAGATAAACCCGCCCAGAAAAAATATATTAAAAACTCCACTATTTAAAAAAAAATAATTTAAATACATCCTCGTTACAAATTTCTATGTTGTTTGTAACGCCGCGAAATATTGGTCCTTGACCCACCTTTAAGCATACCGATCGTCATATCTCGACTAGCTGAGTCGATCTAAACATGTGTGTC